AGAGCACTAGAGATTTGCATGTACCTGTTGCTACGGTAAGCTCAACGCTACACATACATGTACATAAACAATGGGTATGACATACACTAGGATCAAGAGACTCCTACAGATTTACCTGTTGCTATGGTAAGCTCAACGCTACACATACATGTACATAAACAATGGGTATGACATACACTAGGATCAAGAGACTCCTACAGATTTACCTGTTGCTACGGTAAGCTCAACGCTACACATACATGTACATAAACAATGGGTATGACATACACTAGGATCAAGAGACTCCTACAGATTTACCTGTTGCTACGGTAAGCTCAACGCTACACATACATGTACATAAACAATGGGTATGACATACACTAGGATCAAGAGACTCCTACAGATTTACCTGTTGCTACGGTAAGCTCAACGCTACACATACATGTACATAAACAATGGGTATGACATACACTAGGATCAAGAGACTCCTACAGATTTACCTGTTGCTACGGTAAGCTCAACGCTACACATACATGTACATAAACAATGGGTATGACATACACTAGGATCAAGAGACTCCTACAGATTTACCTGTTGCTACGGTAAGCTCAACGCTACACATATATGTACATAACTTTAATATACATGTACATAGATGTACATGCATGTGCAGCAGATAGATTTTACTGGTATGATTCACAAAATTTACATTAAAAAATTCAAAGGTTTTATATGATTGTCCTATTGTTTTGTACAACATAGAAGCTGACAAATGCTCATCTATACATGTACATTCCAAATTTCCAATGCATCATTCCCTCACTGCAGGTGGCTAGTGAAGAAAGGGAAGAGCAAGAAAGCAGATAAGACCCTCCACAGGTTACGTAAGGACTACACTGAGGAAGAGATAAAGGAAGAACTGAACGACATTGAGTTTACTGTACTGAACTCAAACGATTCTTTAATGGACGTATTTGCTGAAGTATTTAGATGGAGGATACTAAAAAGGTACAGTAGATTTGATTATAATAATTATTCTGACCAACCATCAGGGCTCTCCTTAAAACTGTAAACCCTGAATGAATAGGAGCATAACAAGTATAATTATAATTGTATATAGTTCAAGCCTTTGGATTAGTCTGCATACTCAATATGGGTGAGGTTACCCTTCTTAATCCTGCCAACCATGCAATTAACATCAATAATCATAATGTGAACATGATGTTCTAGTCAACTAGTATGGTTTATAAAATTTAAGAAGAATAATATAAGAACAATATTAGTGTCACTCTCAGACCAGTGAGACCACTTTTAGGCAGAACCTTGGATTACATTATGAATTACTTTACATTATCATATAATTAAATTCATTATAGTGTAAACTGTAAAGGAATTCATAATGTTATCCAAGGTTCTGCCTAAAAGTGGTCTCACTGGTCTGAGAATGAGACTAATATTGTTTTTTTAATGTGTACAAAACATCTCTGTCTATTATTCATGATTATTTCAAAACATTTATCATCATAGTCAGCACTCATACACATTGTCGTTGTAGCTCAAGAATTTCTCCACAAGCACTCAATGACTAATCTACAGTGTTTACTTTCTGTCTAGCAAATGTTTATTTTACCAAAATGTGTACTTGTGTTTGGATGTGTGTCTTCAGCATATTGTACTGTACATGTGCATGTAATATATCATTCTGCTTCTTCTTTTAGTGTTTTCATTTATTAATAGGATACTGTTGGGAGTTATACTGCAAAAGTTTCAGCAATTGACTGAAATGAATGTCATCATGTAAGTGAGAGTATAATTGTAGAGAGAAAGTGGAAGAGAGATAGAGAGGAATTCATATTAACTAATCCATGAATAATCTATGAATATTGTTAGTTCATTGTCTTAACATAATTATGACTAATCATGCACTTAATGTCACTCATGCTCTGATCTAGTCTCGCGTAGCCAGCCCCTCCCTCAATGGGAGGGTCTGGTTGAATGAGTGTACATCATTCGTTCTCCGTGATTAATTAAATAAGTCCGTATTATGTTTGTTCACCACCGCATACTTTATGCAACACGTGGTTAAATATCTGCTATGATCTGCTATCTGTTGTTGGCGAGGCTGTTGGAGAGAGCAGGCTACAATTTTTGTCTGGATGGCTAAACAGCTTCTCTTCTGCTTCTTTTCTTTGCGTTAGTGCCAGAGTTTTTAGCTTGAGTAAGAGCATTTGATGTACCACGAGGATTAAGGTAACGCCTACTACAACCACATCCGGTTCACCCTGTTTTGGGGTGAAGTAGAACGAACGATCTACACTCATTCGACCAGACCCTCCCGTTGAGGGAGGGGCTGGCTACGCGAGACTAGCTCTGATCATGTTTAGTACATTACATGTGTCATTGTTTCTAAAAATAGCACATTTCCACTCTCCTGCTTAATATAACAGAATAAAGGATAAGAATGCAGTTAACATTGTCTTCCTCAGCAGAAATAAACTGTAAACAAATATTTGACCGAAATAGTAATTAAGACAAATAATTACCTGATCAACATGCTCAAGCAAAAATAATTGCAACTGATCAAAGTCAAGGAAAGAATGTGCCACTAGCTATTGAGAGAAAGGGAGGGAGGGAAGGAAGAGACATAAAGGTGAAAGAGAGAAGTTATAATGAAATCACTGACCAGCTCAGTAAGTTGATCAGGATAATATAATCTGCTCCTGATACTCAGTGATTTAACAGGAGGGAGCCATGACCTACTGCATAGGCAGACATACATACCATGTACTATACACTTTCATGGTCAAACAGTCACACACATGCACGCAGAGTCACAAATCTTTCTATCTGTTGTCTGTCTGTCTGTCTCACTCACACTGCGACTATTGCTTTCTTTCTCTCTCCAGCCTTCCACAGTATCTGAGCAAGGGATTTAGAGAGGGGCTCCTTCCGCTCCTTTCGATTAATAAAAGGTCTAAAAAGAAGGGAAGACAAGCTTATATACCCGAAAGGAAGGATATGACATTACATTGCATCAGTAGATCTACCGGCACCATTTGTTCCATCAGCAAATAACATATTCTTTATGATGTATGACTGGACACAAGCTAACACTCCACAAGGGCCACCCAAGGAGAGAGAAGGTGAGGGAAAGAAGGGGACAGGGAGAGAGAGAATGAGGCATAGAAGGATCGTGAAAAGGCAAAAAGAGATTTTAAATTTATCTGTTATAATGAAATACAAACCTTGTGCTGTACAAGCCCATAACTGAGTGATGGTATTTCTTTAGTAATACAAATCCTTGATTCCTCCATTCACTGTTAAATGAGTGAGTGGTTGCTAAACCAAAAAACAACCTCCCTCAATTGCTAAAAATAAAAAATAGCATAAAATGGGTGCATGTACAATGTACCTGAACAATTATACATTAAGTATTATGTTAATAGGTTTACTATACACATGCACGCATGTATGTTAATGTAAACAATCACACATGTCATGTACATGTACAGGTAGAAAATTACCAATGAAGACTGATGAATTGCTGGTTCTCTATCTCCTCACCACTTCCTTGGTAGACAAGATCCAGTTTATTACTCTTGCTCTGCAGGCTAACTTGAGCAAGTGAGCTGTAATGATACACGCCCAGTCTCATATTAACATGAGCCCACCCACACACAATGACTTCTGTTTGTGCCTTCAAAAGTCACTGGTAGAAAAGAAAAGGCAGTCTTTTAGACCCACGCATTTGGGTAGGTCACTCTGTTCTTGTTGTGTTTTTGGTATGTTTTGCAGTTTTTGGTAAATTTATGTTGGATATGACATTGGGTTTCATTTATGTACTTGTGGGAGCGAGCATCTTATTCTAGTTTTTATTGTCCCTCAATTTGTTCATACTGTCATGTGATTAGGGTCATTAATAGAGTCAAGGATATGGATGGATTCCGCCGTACAATGAACCTGTCATTGGTAAAGGATGAACAGAGCAATGGGTCACTTAACTGTGGGGGTACAGACACCAACGAGAATGCACTACTGGTTAGTCTAATGGAGAGAGAGAGAGTTCAGATTTGAAGAATGCTACGTGTGTTGGAGGCAGTTTTGGAGTAAGTAGAATTTTGCATATTTACCAAATTGAGCTATATTTGTTAAAATAAAGTCTGTGATTTCGGCAGCAAATTAACAACTATAAAATCCAGAATCTCCAAAATTGCCTGCTACATTATACGTGATGGTAAATTTTGGTAGTATATCATTATCTATACACTTCCATCTTCTCTTCTCCTTCCCTTTCTCTTATTTTCTCCATTCTCATACCTTTTACCCATCTTTCCCTCACTCTCTCTCCCCCTCTCCTCTCTATTCTTATACAGGGCCTAGTAGTGTCCTTATTTTCCATTGGTTGTTTCATTGGTGCTTTAGTCTCAGGAGGTACACTACAGATCATGTGATAATCATGTGACATGTGCGTCATTATTTTGTAGCATTGTCTGATCCAATTGGTCGGAAGCTATCAATCATTGTGGGAGGAGTAGTCTTTTTTATTGGTGGTGCCTTGCAAGCATCCTCTTTTAATTTATGGTAATACTATTTTCATTGTAGTATCGAAATTGTATTGATTAGATGTATTATGCATGTACATGTACATGTAAAATTAAGACCTTTTTCTTTATTGTACATGGATGCCTCTTTTATCTTTGTTTATTTTCTCCTCCTTGTCTCTCCAGGATGGTATTGGTTGGTCGAATGGTTGCTGGAATTGGTGTAGGGTAAGTCTTCACATTACATGTGTGCAATGTGCATGTACATGTAATATGATATCAATGTATTTAGAAACCTTTTTCTCCTTATATGTACATGTAGTATATTGAGTATGATTGTTCCTGTATATAATGCTGAGCTGGCACCAAAGACTTTAAGAGGAAGGCTAGTCTCATTGAACCAGCTCTTCATCACAGCTGGCATAATGGTAATAATAATAAATTAATAATCAAGAGTACATATAATGATAATGATACCTACA